TTCTATTTTCAGAAGATTACCAAGACAGAAGAAAACGAGGTGAGGATTTAAGGAAAAGATATCTCACTATAAAACGAATTCCTTTAGTCGTACAGCTCGAAGGCAGAATTTCCAACAATGTTGCAACTACGTAATGGAACGGAACTTGGGAGTTGATTTGGGTGTGACCCTAGGGAAAACCTGCTGAGATATGGGCTCAAAGACTGGTCCAGACATCCTCTTCATTCACTTCAGCGACGGAATAGACTACCAAACACGAACCGCATTCGTAGAAGCTTTTCGCGGTAACAACCCACATATCGTTTCCCATAGACCAAGGTTTGACCCCAAAATCTGAAAGTCACCCTTAGATCAAATAGGACCATGGATTATGCCTTTGCTTGAGGTTTTACGAATCGAGGGACGGAAAATTAGCGGTGAATTAGCAATATATCTATTAAAAGGTCCTCTAAGCGACAAAAGGAGCAGGACATACACGACAAAGGACGATTCCATTGATGGACATGTATTACTTCCCAATTTTGCCTCAGAAAAGCCCAAACATAGAGAAAGCAATTTGCAAAGATGAGGAATAGATCATCAAATCGGACGCAAGAGGCCCATATGCAGTGGGGGGAGAGTCCATGAAGTGGGCGGTACTCATTGAACAAGTTCATACGTCGATCCCACGGAATCCTGAAGGCCACAAAGAATTGAAGAAATAAATCTGTGCTAATGCGCTAGATATGCCTAGTCTTATCAAAACTCCGCCCGTTATGGACGGAGCGTATTCGAAACGAAGGTGCCACTCACAAAAATTCGCTTTATTTAGAAAAGTGCTAGAATCTGGGAAAAAGGAGAGTGAGAGGCTATTGAACGAATAGCAAGCAAAAGTCTGTGGTGGGAGGGGCGTGCGCTGAGTGGGCGGAGTCAAAACCAAGAATTCACGGCTCTTCCAAACCTTTCCGGAACGAGAAGCAAAAGAGATGAGAGGTTAAAAGAAGTGTAATCAAAGTACTGTGTGGGCGGGGCGTACGTTGACTGAGCGGAGCCCCGTTTTCAAAGCTCTGCGTTACCACTTCAGCCCATCTGGTCATTAACACATAAGTTGGCTGCTCCTGAATAAAAAATAGGACAATCGACTAGTGGCTTTTTATCATTTCCAGGTCGAAAAGAATAAGCGGAAGAAAAGAAGAGAGAAGATCCATGAATGCTCCACACAAACATCAACGCGATCAGTTAATCAAGCTAGCACTGAAAAGGTTAGTTTCCTTAGCGTGAAATTTCCAAAACTTGCCATTTATAAATTGCTGAAACCGTATTTTAAAATGGGACTGCTTCACCAGATTATGCCCTATACAGGAATCCTCATCAGTGGGGTTGGCGCTGACGAGGCGAATGGAATTGGCGCAATAAAAGCTCAAAATATGCTACCTCTGCCTACCTCAACACTGATGGGCGGAGTTGACGAATATCAAGTTTTTCTTGCGCTATTTCCAAGCCGTATTTCAACTGACATGCCATATATCGACTCTATAAGGGTTACATTCCTTTCTCGAATTTGATGGAATGCGCAGAGTATTTCACTCGGAAATGACACTTCAAAATTGTTAATTAGATAACGCGTAAGCATAAAAAGAAGCCGTGAGAGAACGAAGGCATCCCACATGACGTCAAAGTAATCCATTTTGACAGATGTTGAAAGTGTCTTCCACCGACGTCTGCCACAGTTGAACGCCACTCTGCATACCCATTTCTAATTTCGTGAAAGGTTCAAATGGTCTTTGACATCATGAGTCTGACTCTGACTGAGTCAGGTTTTTCACAGCGGATTTGGCGGTTGTCCACCGGAACGCGCATCCGACAAGATTCTAGAGATGATAACTTTCCTGCTGAGCACTTAATTGTGTTCCAGAAAAATAACGGAAAAGACTAGGAAGAAGAAACCTTTCACCGAATCGTTCCCGCTAGTTTTCTTGAAGTACGGTATTAAGACTCTGTGGTCCACTAGGCTTTCACAATCTACGCTTTTTCTACGGCTGTGTACGGCTGTCTTCACGCTATCGTAGCCCTCGGGCAACGGCAGGGTGGTGGGACACAGTCCGCACCACCGTGGCGCCCGTACCCGCCAGGCTAACCCTTTCTCGCCTTCATGACATGCAACTGATACTGCTGGAAATGGGGTATGGGTACATTTACCCAATCCTGGATGGACACGGTCAGCTGATGATTATCTACCCTTCTTCAAATTTGAATGCTCAGTCTCCCCGGAAAATCGGTAGCTTTTTGTGCTTTTACATGTTCCCATTATTCGCATTCCCTAAAGAGTCAACTTCGATTGAAACACTCTGTAGATAACCCACCCTACAGAATTGGAGTAGCTGGTTCGCTCACCCAGATCAGAGCCCGATTGTCTACCTGTGTTATATTTGAGGTTGAACACTTTTCTCATTCCTAGCAGTACTCTAGAGCACTACGATTATTAGATAACCCAAATTCTTGGAAAAAAAATCACCTTATCACCTTGTATTTTTCAAGCCTCAACCTGGCAGAAAGAAATCACCGAATCTACTCAAAGAATGTCAAACTCAAGGATCATCAGAGAACCCGGAAATCAGAAAAAATATCAAGAAAGATGTTTCCATTCAAAGAACACAATATGACGATCCTGCTCGATTGATACAGATTTCTTTAAAAACTCCCAAAGATCCCCGAAAAATGTGTTCGGGGTCCGACAGTAATCAATCCTCCATCGACCTCGGTCATTATCATATGGAGGGACGTTTAGATGAAAATGGTTAGAAATTTCGAAGATCGGATGACCAACTCATTTACGCAAAGCAAAAAATTGAGCGCATAATTATAGACTATTGTTTAAATGGAGGTCATAACCAGTAAATCTCCAGTTGCATCACTTCAAATGTTTTTTTTTAAGAAGTGGCTTCTTATATGCCTTAGAGGCTCACTAGGCTCTTTAATAAACATGCTTTCAATCGTTGTTATTTGTGTCATGGTGTGAATTTTTGTCAGAATTTCAGACTACTATCATATTCGACGCCAACTTTGGAACGCTAACATCACACTCTCATGGATCAAAGAACTTCTCTCCTGTAGAACTTAAGTTTGCGGAGGTTTACTCGGTCTAGGGATTGCTTAGTCCATAACCGAGCCCATAAGAGGAAGAGCACGACCACCACATATATCGCGCCCTGAAAGCTTGGTGTTACAGACGGATGATCAAGGTTTTAATGAGAGAAAATATGGATCCATCAGAAAGTACGGATCCGCCCTGGTCAATCCACGGGTGTGGTGCGTTAGGAACAAAATGGTCGCGTCGCGGTGAGAGGGGCGTCGCGCGCGAAGGAATGTAGCAGGATGCCGCAGTNTGAATTTTCCAAAACTTGCCATTTATAAATTGCTGAAATTCTGAAAAAGCCGTATTTTAAAATGGGACTGCTTCACCAGATTATGCC